AAGAGGCACAGCAGATGGAACACTGAGCTTGGAGTCAGGAAGACCTTTGTTCACATCCAGCCTCAGGTACTTACTAGCTGTGAGACTCTGGATAGCTCACTCCTCGGTGTCCTCAACTGTAAAATGTGGAGGAGAATAACACCTACCTCCCATAGCTGTTGCAAAGACGAGATGATACAATATTTCTAAAGCACTTAGCACAGTTTCTGGAACAAACTACACATTTATGAAGTGTTTATTTCCTTCCTCCATCCTTCCTATAATCAGTGTTCTAGATAAACTAAAGAATTCATTTTTTTTCCTCTAATTTCACCCTGCCCTTTTTAAAATTATGAATTTGTGCATACCAAAAGTAGATTACTACATATTTCTTCTTTTTAAAATATTTCTCTTCAATTAGAAAAATAAAAAAATAAATAAAATAAAATATTTCTCTTCCTTCAAATTTCAGTTCAGGTGTCGTTAGGTCCCCCTTGAAGTCTTCCCTCATTCTATTCCTTACCCCAAATAGAAGTGACCCCTTCTTCTTGTAATTAGTGTCATTTTGACCTCTCCTGTCCAGCTAAAAATATTTGAAATTGTGCAGTATTTAGTTTAGTTTAGTTTTTTATCTGTCTTCTCCGTGATTATATGATTAACTCCTTGAGAAGAGGTACATCTTTATAATAGGATGTATTTTCTTATTGCCAGGGACTGTTTTTAATTTTGTTTTTGTCCATAGGTGTTGGCATACAATGCCTTACACAAAATAAGTACTCAATGCTTGTTGGATTGCGTTGAATTTGTACCCTTGGTACCTAGCACAGTGCTAAGAAATGTGGAACTGAATGGCTTACATTTATATTGCAATTTATAGTTACAGATAAGCCTGGCTTAATTAATATGTTTATCTTGAATTGGGATAAACATACTTAAAATTACTGGAATAATTTTCTAATTTTGAAATATTTTCTTGATAGAGACTATACAATAAAGATATGCCCTTCACTAAGTTCACCAAAAAAATCCTTATATAGAAGTTAATACTCCTTACAGTATATATATTATAGTGAACTTGAGAAGGGGGTATTTTGTTCAATGTTTGACAACTGGCTGTCAGGGGGAGGGATATATTTAGGACACACTTTTAAGTTTAATCTACATTATTAACATTTTAACATCACTTTCCTAAATCTAGATAATCAACAAAACAATAAATAAAGCCCTGATACTAAGTATTTGCCTATTTCCAAGGTATAAATATTCACAATGAAATTTAACAACCTGCTTTTCAGCTAAAGCATATACCTGGCTTGAGAACACTAACTAAGTACAGAGAGAGAGAGAGAGAGAGAGAGAGAGAGAGAGAGAGAGAGAGAAAGAAGTAGGGCCTTGGATTTGGAGTCAGGAAGACTTTATTTTGATTTTTTCCTCTGACAATTGCTCAGAAACTCCAGTGGTACTCTGCTGCCTGGAGAATAAATATTAAGTCCTCTCTGTGACATTCTAAACTCTTCATCCACAGTTTGGCCTACCTTTCCAAGCTTAGTACATACACATTGCTTCCCTCCATGTACTCTTTGATCTTGACAAACTCTCCTATTTGACAATGCTTATAAACATGACATCCCCTTTCTCACCTCCATGTCTTTGCAGAAGTCAATCATACCTGGAATCACTCTTTTGTCAGGTCTGCCTTTTAGGTGGTCATTCCCTTCAAAGGTTAGGTCAAGTATAACCTCTCATATGGAATATTTCCTGAGCTACCAGCTGCTAATTCTTATCCCTAAATTATTTTAATTTACTTTTTTTTTTTACTTATATATGCTTGTGATTTCTCGCCTTGAGGATGAGGACTGTTTCATTTCTGTCTTTGTACTCCCAGTGCCTAGAACATAGTGCTTAATAATGCTAGTTAATTGATTGTTATATGACCTTGGGCAACTCCCTTAATCTCTGCAAACCTCAGTTTCCTCTTCTGAAAATAAGTGTAGTAAATAGCTCCTATAGCTCAGAGATATGAGAATTAAAGGAGACAATGTATGTAAAGTGCTTTTAGATGTTATAGTGCTTTATAAGGTAATTTGTTACTAATTTATTATTATTGTTATTATGATCCCAAAGGCCTTATATACGTAATAAATACTTGTTGATTGATTGTTAATGATAACTATCATTTTCTAGTATTATAAAAAAAATTTAAAAGTCTACAACATTTGAAGTGCCTTATTTCATTAACTATAGTTAACATATATCAAAGATATATGTATTAAGCTATTAAAGCTTAAAACTGCACAAAGACTTTTGGGATACCATATACATATAGATAGATTGACATAGATATAGATATAGATATAAATATAGATATAGATATAGATATAGATATAGGTATAGATATAGATATAGATATAGATATAGATATAGATATAGATATAGATATAGATATAGATGATGTAATTTGTGTTTGTATTCTGATCCTTACCACAGGGCCTGGCACGTAATCGGCTCTAGTGCATGTCAACTGGCTGATTCATTGAATGTGCTTGTGTCTATATATTATAGTTAGCATAGGAACTGGACCTGTGATTTCACTGGAATGGGAAACTCCCAAAAGACGAAATTCTGCCACAACTGGTTGGTGCCTTCTCTGAACATATGGTCTTTAAAAAAAATATATTAATTTATTTTGATTTGAGTTTAAAATTTTTCTCCCCCTCCCTCTCCAAGACTGCGCAGAATCTGATGTAAGCTATATATATGCATTCCTATTAAACATATTTTCACATTAGTCATGTTGTAAGGCAGAATTAGAACCAATAGGAGGAACCACCAGAAAGAGGAAACAAAATAAAATGGAAGAAAAAAATTGCAAATAGTATGCCTCAACCTGCATTCAAACTCCATAGTTTTTTCTTTGGATGTGGATAGCATTTTCCATCATGAGACTTTTGGAGATGTCTTAGATCCTTGCATTGCCAAGAAGGGCTAAGTCTATCAATGTTAGTCATTGCACAACATGGCTGTTACTGTGTACAACATTCTCCTGGTTCTGCTCACTTCACTCAGCATCAGTCCATACAGGTCTTTCCAGGTTTTTCTGAAATCTGCCTGTTCATCAGTTCTTATAGCACAATAGTATTCCATTGCATTCGTATACCACAACTTCTTCAGCCATTCCCCAGTTAATGGGCATTCCCTCGATTTCCAATTCTTGGCCACCACAAAAAGAGCTGCTATAAATATTTTTGTACATGTGGGTCCTTCTCCCATTTTTATGATCTCTTTGGAATACAGCCCTAGAAGTGCTATTGCTGAGTCAAAGAGTATGCACATTTTTATAGCCCTTTGGGCATATGAACATTTGGTCTTAAAGAATTGCCTAGAGCAGTGGGCAGCTAAGAGAATTGCCCAGGGTGGTGCAGACATTATGTTTCAGAAGCAGTACTTGAATGTTGGTCTTCCTGGCCTCAAGCCAAGTTCCCTATGCACCAGTGCTTCTTAAACTATGGGTCATGACCCACAGTGCTGAAGGAGTCAGGTCACAAATGGAAAAGGTTAAGAAGTTCTGAACTATGCCATGCTGCTCTTCATATACCATAGTTCTCACTTCAAATAGTCATGTGTGTATTAAATATATTGTTTATATATCATTATATTTAAATGCCATATATAGTTTGCATGCATATATTTGTTGTGGTTCAGTCATTTTAGTAGTATCTAACTCTTTATGACCCTATTTGGAGTTTTCTTGGCAAAGATATTGGAGTAGTTTGCATTTTCCTTCTCTAGTTCATTTTACAGGTGATGAAACTGAGGAAACAGAGTTAAGTGACTTGACCATGGTCACACAATTAGTAAGTGCCTGAGGTCAGATTTGCACTTAGGTCCTCTTGACTTTAGAGCCAGAACTCTAACCACTGTGTCACCTATCTGCCCCAGCATATACATATACATACACATACACATTCATTCCTGTGTGTGTGTGTGTGTGTGTGTGTGTGTGTGAGTGTATAATGACTATATTTATGTGTATGTATACATGTGTATATACATTCATATACACACAGATGCATGTGTATAGGCATGTGTTTACATGTGTATATGCATATATACACACATATACACAGATGTGTATGCTGGGGCAACTAGGTGACCAGCTCTTAAGTCAAAAGGACCTGAGTTCAAATCCAGCCTCAGACACTCACCAGCTCTCTGTGTGTATGAATATGTATGTATACATGTACATATCTACATATATATAAACTGAATGCACACACAGGCATTTTATACATAATGCATAAAAAAATAAAATAGTCCTGGGAAATAAATCGATCCTCTTAAAAAGTATTATTTTGTTTAAATTAAAAATTATAGTTATGCCTCTGGATATAACTAATTCTCCTTTATGTACCTTACTACTGTGAAAAATTTTATTAATTCATTTGCTTTGAATTCAATGAAAGTCATTTCATAAGCTCAAATGGGATAGAGATTAAAATCATTTTTATCCTTTTTCCCCCCTTGTTTATCATTCATTATAAGGGATTGCTCTCTAGGAGTAGAAGGGAAGATGAATACTCTAGGAAATATAGATGACAAAAATAAATGATGTCAATAAAAAGTGATTTAAAATGATCTCCCCCCAAAAGAAGAGAAAAACCCAATGAGAAACCCATTCATGTTTCGATCTAGCAGGAGTTTACCAGTCCATTAGTAGTAGGCATAGTAGTTGCATATTATATTTCTATATAGAGCCCTGTTAAGTTATTCACAGCTTTCAAATAAGAATAGTTGTCTACAAAACATAAAACATGCTTCTAAGATGTCAAAATCTCTCAATTATTGCCTACTTCTCAAATACCCAGTGTCCTATTTGCTCAGGAGATGTCTTCCTCCATCCACCAGAAAGGGGAGGAAAAATGTGGACTGATAAGTGTTTATTATTAATCTATGGCTTTATTATGCTACAATTTTATATGATCAACCTATTCAGTGATACATTCTTTTTTTTTCTTTTTTAGGTTCAAGAATGGCTATGTTTAAACTGCCAGACCCAGAGAGCAATATCAGGACAACTTGGGGATATGGGCAAAATGCCACCTTCAGTCTCACCTCTTTCTTCAGAGATGGTACAGAAACCAGCAGCTGTACCTCAGAGTCAGCCTCCAGTGACAGAGCAAATATCCCTCAAAACATCTTCAATGCCTGTCCAAGTGACAGAAAAAAAGAAAGAACAAGAAGCACAAAAAGAAGATGAAAAAGGAAAAGAAATACCTTCACTTGAAAAGAAGCCCCCATTGATAAGCACAGATGAAAAGCATGAGGAAAGCAAATTGAAAGACAAGATTATAGACCCTGATGATTTGGGAAAAAAGCCCAAAGAGGAACAGTTGCAAGAGATAAAGAAACCTGAGGTACCAGCTGCTAAAGAGAAAGCCTTAGACCAGGTATCTCTTAAGGAAGTACATGAGGAAAAACAAGCCAAGCCCAAGACAGAGGATTCAGCGCCTGGAATTCCCCAGACTCTGCCCAAAGAAGAGGAGAAGACCCAGAAAAGAGATGCCAGGCCGCAGTCAACACCATCAGTGAAACCTGATAAGGTGGAAACAGTGAAAGAAAAAACAGTAAGTGGATTATTTGTTTTTGTTGTTGTTATTGTTTAACTATTTACAGAGTTTGTGTGCATATAGTTATTTTTAAACTAAAACACACAAATTCTACTTAGAGACATCTGCACATTCAAAGTGTAAAGGAAGGTGATACAATTTTCAGTTAATTTGGATTTGTCTCTACAGCCAAATCAGAAAAAAAATCTGTAAAATTCAGTAACAACTGAAAAAAATTGGTTTTTTTTCCATTTGTTTTGATTTCTAAAATTATATCAATCAGTTGTCTAAGTCCAAACTTATTAAACTTAAAGGCTAAAATTCTGCAGTTAAATTTTCTTTGTGAAATCATCAGAGGCATAAATACACACAGAGTTCTTCAGGGCTTCTCAACTTAACACCAACTTGAATATGCCTTTATCTATCTATCCATCTATCTATCTATCTTATACATATATGTATATGTGTGTGTACGTATGTATATATTGGCATAGACATAAACATATATACATACATACATACATACACACACACACTCACAAACACATACAGAGAGAGAGAGAGAGAGAGAGAGAGAGAAGAGAGAGAGAGAGAGAGAGAGAGTTCTTCAAGTTAACACCAACTCAAACTCACAGGTTAGGTTCCCCAAGAAAAGTGACTACTTCGGGTTCAGAGTACTTTATGAACATGCACTCTTAAACCTGTGGGTCATTTAGTCCCTGGATACTCATTCCTTTTTAATAGTAAACCAGCTGACACAATTAGTTCAAAGGCTTTCAGTGAAAGAAGATTTAGAATGAACATGACTGTCTTCAAGTTTTGGAACTTGATAAATGGGTGAGGATTCAATTCACCATACCTGTGCAAAAGGGATTAGGATTTTTTTAAAGCTCCATAGGACAAATTATTAGCAAGAAGTAGAAGTTGTAAAGACTCAGATTTTGACTTGATACAAAGAAAAAACTTCCTAATCATAGACCTATCCAGAAGTAAAATGGGCTGCTTCAGGAGGGAAAGTTTCTACTTAATGGAGGTATTCAATAACTCCCATAAATAAACATCTTAGGTTTATCTTAGAGAGACTTCTTCCTCCTAGTTCGAATGTTCCTCAGTTTGGTTCATGAAGTCAGCTTCAACTTTAAAGTTCTAAGATTCTTCTGGGATTATTCAATTCCACAATTAACGTTCTCATTTATCAATATCTTTCCTACAATGTGTGGTTCCCAGAACTGAATCCATTTCCCCACACATTTTGACCAAGTAAAATGTAGAGTGAGAAAATTATTTCCTTGGAAAATATGCCTTTTTTCATGGAATTTCATATTGTTTTAGATTTTTTTTTGTTACCATATCATACTAATTCTGTAAATATGTCCCAGGGATTCTGCTTAGTGGATGAAGTTGTAGAAAAAAAGTCAAGAAGACCTGAGTTTAAATTTTATATCAGATACTTATTAACTTTGTGATTATGGGCAAGACACTTAACCCTCTCATCCCCAGTTTCCTTATCTGTTAAATGGGGATAATAATAGAGCCTACTTCATAGGGTTGTCTGGAGATTACATTACATATATAAAAGTCTTTTAAAACCTTAAAGTGCTATGTAAATGTAAACTATCGTTAATGGGAAAATATTATTGTTTGAAGAGTAAGGTTTTTTCTGTAGCAAGCAGCTTAGCACTGCATAATTGTTCAAATGCAATCCTGTCCTATCTCCTTTTCTGATTGCCTTCCTTTACAAATTTAAATAAGATCCCACATTTGCATTTCATCACATCCTGCTGCTCTTCCATAATCACTTTTTGGAGATGAAAGATATTTTTTGAGGAAAATGCATATTCACTTTAATGGAAGTTATCTGTACAAACAGGTGTGCTTTGCTCTATCAGTTGGATATGTACCTGGAAATTGAATGCAATATGGAGTGTGTAGGAACTTTTTTTTAAACACAGAAGTAGCATGATCATGTCTATGTTTAAGAAAAATTATTCTGATAAGGTAAAAAAAATGGCTTTTTGGGAGGAGAGGAGTGAGTGGTCAAAGAAAGAGAATTAAGGTAAGAGGACCTATTGGGAAACTATTGGTAATTTTCTGTGCAGTTGATAATTGAGATCTATTTGTTGGTAGGGAAGTGGAGACTAAAACGAGGAAAGATGGAAGACAGATTTCACAGGTGAAATGTAATAGGGTTTCTCTATAATGTTAGACTTGGTATAAGGAAGAACTGAGCTGAGATCCAACTGTCATGCTTACTACCTGTGTGACCATGGACAAGTGATTTAATCTCTCTTAGCCTCAGTTTCTTCATCTGTAAAATGAGAAAAATATTCTAAAATACCTCATACACTTTTGGTGTGGGACTCAGATGAAATAGGTAAATAGGTAGATAGACAGATTTATGGAATTTTATACAGATTTATAGAGTGGTAGCCTTGGACTGAATAAGCCCTGGGTTCAAATTCTGCCTCAGACACTTACCTGTGCAACCATAGGCAAGTTATGTTACTTCTCAGCCTGTTTCCTCACCTATAAAGTGGGAATAATAACTACTATCTCACAAGCTTGTTGTGAGAATCATATGAGGTAATAGATGGAAAGTGTTCTATAAACCTTAAAGTGTCATATGAATTTTAGTTACTATTAGTGTTATTATTATCAATATATAAATTTATTACAAATCTTAATACATGATATTTTTGGTTGTTCAGTAGTGTCTGACTCTTTGTGACCCATTCGGGGTTTTCTTGGCAAAGGCACTGGAGTGGTTTGCCATTTCATTCTCCAGCTCATTTTACAGATGAGGAAACTGAGGCAAACAGGGTTAAATGACTTGCCCAGGGTCACACAGTTAGTAAGTGTTTGAGGCCATATTTGAACTCAGGTCTTCCTGCTTCCAGGCCAGCTCTTTCTACTTTGCCAACTATCTGCCCTACTATAATGGATTTTCTAAATATTAGCTATTATCATTCTCAATAGAATGTAAGTTCTTTGTGGGTAGAAACTAATTTTCATTTTAGTTTCTTACCCTCAAGGCTTAACATAGTGCCTTGCTTATGGTACATACCTAATAAATGCTTTTTGGATCAAATTTGATTTGATATATAGATTCAACAAAATTTGATAACCTGTTAGGATATAAGGGTGATAGAAACAAATAGTAAATATTAACTTCAAATAATAATAGCAAATGGTAATAGCTAACATTTAAGTAGTAATTTAATGTTTTTTCAAATACTTTGCATATATGATGACTCTGTGAGATCAAGTAAATGACTCTAATACAGACAGAAATTTTATTCTCAGAAGAACAAATTTAGAAAGAAAGCTAATGAGTTTAGTTGTATAAATGGTGGACATGATTGCTGTTGAATCCATTTGAAAGCAAAGAGAAGATTCAGATAAAATAAAAATACTTAGGAATTAACACTGGAGAATTATAATATTTAGAGTGCTTACTCAGCACCCCTCTGTTACCATACTCCATGTGCTTGTGGTATCAAAAGAGTAAAAGTCAATTCCCAGGCTGTTGCCAGGCCTGATGTAGGTTAGGGACACACTGCTGAAAAACCTTTGCTTTCCCCTTACCCTTTAAGAAAGAGCAGAGTCAATTTCAATACTGCTGATTTTCATATATACTTCTTAAGAGCCCATTTTTTTCTTTGTCAAATACTGTGCTAAGCCCTGGAGTTAGAAAGAAGGAAAGAAAGAGAGGGAGAGAAGGAGAAAGGAAGGAAGGAAGGAAGGAAGGAAGGAAGGAAGGAAGGAAGGAAGGAAGGAAGCAAGGGAGGAAGGAAGCAAGCAAGGGAGGCTGGAAGGAAGGATGGCTGTGCCTGCAATTGTGGAGCTTAGCATGTAATGGGGAAAGACGCACACCCTGAAGTCTTAAAAAGGGAGTGGATGGGGCAGCTAGGTTGCACAGTGGATAGAGCACTGGCCCTGCAGTCAGCAGGACCTGAGTTCAAATCCAACCTTAGACACTTGACACTTACTAACTGTGTGACCCTTGGCAAGTCATTTAACCCCAACTGCCTCATCTAATTAAGGGGGGGGGGAGAAAAGAAGGGGAGGAATGGAAGGACACATCTTGTTCCATGGAATTTAGACCTTGCAGACTCTCAGCAGAGCTGTAAAAGAAAATGGAGTGACTTTATTCAGTCATGTAAAATAAAGAAGAAGAGTAGAAGAATCTGATGGGGTTGTATTATGGGAGGTAACTCCAGAACTAAAGAAAAGTAGACAGTAAAATTCACTGGGGTCAGACTTGGTAAGTAATCACAAGGGCTCTGAGGCAATTTTGTAGCCCAGCCTTGGACATATATTCACAAGCAAAATGAGAAGTATCAGAAAGTAAGATAGGATAATATATAAAGGATTGAGATGATAGCTAGCTAGATATAGATAGTGTTTCAATCCATATATATATATATATACCTCAAAAAAAGCCCAACTCACAAACAGATGAATCAACAGAGTATCCTAAAACTCAAAGAAAGAGTAAATAAAATCTTAAAGAGAATACAAAAGTCTTAACAAATCTTATAATACAAAGGAAAATAAACTGACTAATGAAAGACTCCTCTGGACTCACCAGAGCACATGAGACAATGAGAAATCATGGAATGGTTCAAAAGAGAAATGAAATCTATAAAATTTGAAAGAATTTATATCAGAAATCAGAGCTCTTTGTGCAATTAAAAAGCACAGCATTAGCAATTTTTTAAAAAAAAATCTATCATGAAGAATCTTTCCAAAGACAAATTTGGAATACAGAAATACAGCTAGGTGGTACAGTGAATAGAGCACTGGTCCCAAAGTCAGGAGGACCTGAGTTCAAATCCAGCCTCAGACCAAACACTTGACACTTACTAGCTGTGTGATTCTGCCCTAACTCTAATTGGCTAAACATTTTTTTAAAAATTATTATTTTTTTTAAAAATACAAAAATACAAGAAAATTTGTCAGGAAAGAAGCAAAATTCAGTGACCTTGAGAAAACATATGAATTCTAGAGAAGCCATT